TCAAATCTGTGACAAGCCCCAGGTCCTTTATTGAAAAAGAACCCTGCTGCAGGCATGGCTCAGTGGTTGAGTGTGGACCTATGAACCAGGAGGTCACGGTTTGAATCCTGATCAGGGCACATGCCCAGATTATGGGCTTGATCCCCAGTGTGGGTATGCAGGAGGTAGCCGATCAATGATTTTCATCACTGATGCTTCCATCTCTCTCCCTCTCTGAAACAGTAAAGATATATCTATTAAAAAATATGTTAATAGTAAAATAATCCCTCCTTGAGCCTGTAAAGGCTGAATAGCACCTCAGAGCTGGTGTGAGCAGTCTGTATAGGGTGCTTTGATATATAAGCACCCTATATGGATTTAAGGGGAAAATTTGGGAAGTAAAAAGTATCTGAAGCCATAACTAAAGAAAATCATTGTTTAGGTTTTGCTCTATCCTATCATATACATTAAGTTAGCCAGAGGGAAAAGTATGGCAATATGTCAACCTGTTTTTTTAGGGGGGTTGACAGGAAGAGAAATACTGATGGGAAGAATTGGGTGGGGAGGGAGGAAGTGCTTTAAGTGCACTTACTGGAAGTCAGGAGACTGAATTCTGGTTCTGGATCCACCAGCAAATGAATTTAGCTTCAACTTCCAATTCTGTAAAATGAGAGTTGGAAGTAGATGCTATTTGAACTCTTTCTGATCCATCTGGGCACAAGATTTTCAACAGAACTGAGTTGGGAAAATGCATATAAGGTGGGAACAGAGAACCTTGTTCTTAAAGGAAAGCGGGAAGCAAGGCCCGCATTCAGTAATCCCTTCTCCCCTTCAGTCTCGTGCATGGCCTCCTGCTCATCCCGCTGGGCCAAGCAAGCAACTTCCCCCACAGCTTTAAGCGCCCACCAGGTTGGATGGGACAATAGGCTTTGTGTCGCAGGCGTCCTGTCCTGAGACCACGTAACAATGCGCGGGGGAGCGCTCTGTCTGGGGCCTCCCACTCCCACCAGAGGGGTCCTTGGACGGCGGTCGGGATGGTGCACTTGCGCGAGTATCCTCTGCGGCTGCAGAAGGGCTTCATCTTGGATGGGGTGGCCCTGAGCACCATGGCCCGCAACTATGAGCACTTGAAGCCCAAGGTCTGGTCTGCGATTCCGCCTTACAATGCGCAGCAGGACTACCACGCCCGTCGGTACTTCAGGAGCCGTGTGGTTCCGCCCATTTTGCAGAAAACCGGCCAGGTATAGGCACTCCCCAAAGCACCCCACTGTTTGCCTGCAGAGGTTGTCCCTGGTGGCGGACTGATTTCCCAAATCCTGGCGTCTCACTCCAGCACCCTCCCACCAGGGAGGTTCCCCCCTCTTCCCCCCCTCTCCCCCCACGCCCCACCACACACACACCTCAGTTTTCTTCATGAACACACGGACCTGGCCCAGGTGATGACAGGCATTGAGCGTGAGCTCCCTGGGCTCACAGAATCACCTTCTATCCCTGACCTTGAGAATGATCTCATTTTGGGTTTCTGCAAGCCTGGGGAACCTGGCTCCAAGTCCGCTTCTCCCAAACCGATTTCATTGTCCTTTTTGACGTCATGGACCCGCTCTTTGGGGTGACCTCACACTACAAATTCTCTAAAAGCTCGAAAATCTGTGACCTCAGTGAACAAGACAAAGACCCACCAAGTGCCACACCCTCTGTTCGGTGACGTCATAGTTACAGTGGGGCTCACTCCGAGGAACCTCTAGCTGAAACCTCCCAACCCTCCTTGGATCTCCCTTCTCCCCAGGCCTTTCCGGGGAGAAAGGGCGGGGTTTGCCCCTCCCCAGCAGACTACTTCCCTGGGGTCAAAGATTCTGAGGCTATTTGCTAATGGTTCCATTCATTTTTTAAAAATATATTTTTCTTGATTTTAGAGAGAGGACAGGAGAGGCATAGAGAGTTAGAAACATCGCTGAGAGAGAAACATTGATTGCCCTACTTGGGGTCGAGCCCGCAATTCCGACATATGCCCTGATCCGGAATTGAACTGTGACCTCCTGGTTCATGTGCCCACACTCCACTACTGAGCACACTGATTGGGCTGGTTCCATTCTTTTCACCCCTTTTGCCTCCAATATTGGTGCCTATATGTCACAGTAGTATGAATACGACTTAATGGGGGTTATTCCATGAACAAATCTAGGGTTTTTTTTTTTTTAATCCCAAGTGTGTGTGCACGTGCATGTTTAGTACAAGTATATATGGACACACATCTGTGCATGCCATGTTTGAGTGTGTACTTGCTGTTTACTCATATAGCTTTTATGACAGAAGGAGCTGTCATATGGGGAGGCCTTTGAAAAGAATATGGCTTACACCCTTTTGAAATTTTCTGTTCCGTTTTGTAAGTAGCTTAATTGTCATAACCACCATTTGTGGTAGGTATTATTTTCATTTAAATGAAGATAAGGTTTAAAAAAAAAGATAAGGCTTATTGAACCTTTACTGTGCCAGGCCCTTTATTTGAAACATCTCACTTAAATCTCACAGCAACCCTCCTTTTACTGATTGAGGACACCGAGGTCCAGAAAAGCTGTGTCATTGGCCTAGGTCACACAGCTTGTTAGTGGCGGAGCTGGAATTGGAAACTGTCTGGCAGCAGACACTGAGCCCCCTAAGGGTCAAGCTACACAGCCTCTCCCTGAGAGGCAATAGAGATCATAAGGATATTTAATTTTTCTGGCCCTCTTACCCCTGGCTGTGACCTCTACCCCCTCCCCACAAGCCACAGGGGAGTCCGCATTGTGCATGTCTCAGCATGGTGGCTGACAGTCCTTTTTTTTTTCCTAACCGTCTTCTGTATTCTCTCCTCACTCTCAGGATCGTGGAGGTACAGGAAGGGACGGCTGGGTGGTGGATTATTTCCACATCTTCGGGGAAGAACAGAAATACATCAACAGGAGAAACTGGGCAGGGGCAGGCAAGTGTCCCACCTAGGAAGCGTGGTGTGCATCCCACAGTTCAGAGAGAGAAAGTGGGTGCAGAGAGACCTGTTTGGGGAGAAGAGGGCCAGGAACTGCATCCTCCAGCTTTTCTTCTTAGACAAGAGCAGAAGCTGAAACAGTACTCCCCATAGGTAGTTATTGAGCACCTACTGCATGCCGGGTGCTTTTTACCCTCACACCACCCCCATGTTACAACCTGGGAAACTAGGACCGAGGGAGTTAAAGTGATTTGCTCAGAAGAGCTGAGCAAGGATTGGGATTCCACTTTTCTAACTCTAAAACCTTTATCCCTCTCATTGCTCCTGGGAAGGCTGTCTCCTGATTATTTTACAGGCACAGTTAAGAAGCAACAGGAATGGGAGAGTTGAGAGAGATTTTTCTGACAGGGTAAACACTCCTCCCACCCCAATCCCACCACCCTGTAGCCACGCTCTATAGTCACATGACCCTCTGTAACATTCGGCCACACTGAGCACATCAGTGTTCTCCAGATGGGTCAGAGGCAAGGATGGAATTTTCTCAGTTCTAGGAGCAAGGCAAGTTTGGCCAAGCCCAGAAATGTCTGACCCTCATACACCATTCATACTCCTCCTGCACGCTACTCATACTCCTCCTGGTATGAGGTTGGGTTTCTAGGTAGCCATCTGTTTCCTTGACTTCACCAACCCTTGGCTTTTCGGTAAAGAGGCTTGAGACATTTGAGAATTGAAGGCTCCGCTAGACATGGGGAGCACAGCAGCTGTAGCTGGGTTGGTTTCCTAATACCAGTGGAAGTGGAGAAAGCAAGAGGGGGCTGCCTGCAGGCTCAGGCCTCTCTCTCCACCCGCCAGGGCATTCCTTCCAGCAGGTGATCGGCCATGACTACTACAATGCTGATGTGAAAGCGATCAGGGGGTACAACGGGCGGTTTGGCTACCGCAGAAACACCCCAGCCCTCCGCCAGTGCCCATCTGTCTTCGGAGAGGTCACCCGACTCCCTCTCTTCTAACAGCAGCTCTTCCTTTCATACCCCTTGAACTGAGTTTCTATGACAGGTGCTTAGATGAACTCCCAATACCATTTTCGATAAACATTGTTTTTAATCTGTGCCTCCAAGTGTGCTGTTTCTTCCCTGAGTTTGGGGGCGGGGGGGGACTAGTTTCTCTAGTCTCAGCTTTTCTCCCCAGTGGAGAGGAGGTGAGAGGAGAAAGTGCATCTCAGGCTTGTGCCTGTACACTCCATGCCAACCAGTGCCAGGCTTGCGAGGCCTCAGTCCTCCCTTGCCAGTGTGATAAGGAGGCACCACACGGCCTAGCCCTCAACAATTCTCCCCCAGACATCTGCAGGGCTAGGTCAGAGCTGGCTACTGTTTCCACCACGAATGGAGCGAGCAGGGTGGCCACAGCAAACGAAGGGAAAGGAAATGGGGAAGCTGGCACATTCCGAAGGTTCGGTGCAGGGTGGCCGATGGAATTTCGGTTTGATTGTTTCTACTTAACCTCCATAAAGTAGATCTGATTTAAGGCAGTCGGCGCTGTGTCGAGGTTTGAGGAGAATGCGTGTTTTTTTTTTTTTTTATAAATCCTTAATTTTGTTTTGTTTAAAGTATTACATATGTCTCATTTTCCCCCGATTGACTATTCACCCTCCCGCGTCCCCCGCCCCCCCCCCCCCTGCCCCGAGAGTGCGGGTTTGAAAAGCCGTTTGGAAAACCGGGGCGTATGGGGGAGGTGCCGGGCGAGGAGACCGGAGCTGGTCCACGCTGGGGGGTCCACGCTGGGGCCTCCCCGCGAGACACCGATGGAAGCCCCGAGAGGGACGCCGCGGCGCGCTGCCATGACAACCGAACCGCTGGGCGAGGCCTACTAGCCACGTAACTGACTACAGCAGCGGCGTCTGAACACACCCATGGCGATGGCAGACGTGGTGCCAACCCGAGGGCCCAAAACGAGGCCGCGGACGCCGCGACCTGAGGGCCTCGAACTGCAACACCACACGTGACGCTCCTGCTACGTAGCGTCACAGAGTAATCAACGTCATCACCCCGCGACGCCGTCGCCGTATTGGAACGCCCTCCCGGAAGTAGAATGTAGATCCGGCTGTGAGAGCGGCCGCCGGTGGCCCCCGAGAGCAGACCGGGGGCGGTCGCACCTGAACTATTTCTCTACGTTTCCTCTCGCTCCTTCCTGAGTCTTCCAGGTCCACGGAGTGAGGACACGTCTCCACCATCATGGGGGGCGGAGACCTGGTAAGTGAGGGAGGCCTCGGCCGGAGGACTGAGGCTGGAGACAGGGTTGGGCTCGGGACGGAATTGGTGGGCGTGGGTAACCGTGGCAACGCAGCCTCGCTTTCGCGGGGGTGAAGTTGCGGGGGTGGGGGGGGGGGGATGCCGTAGCCCTGAAGAGGGGGCGGATCGCTAAGGCCACGGAAGGACTGAGCGGAGACCTGGGGAGGTGGGCCAGGTGTGTCCCCAATGGTGGCAGGTGTTGTTTGTGTGTGTGTTAGGGGGGGCCCTCGGCTGGAAACTCCAGGGGAAGGCCCGGGGGCCAGGGTTGAAATCATGGGTAGGAAAGGAGGCAGGTCTCGAGGACGGGTCCCGCAGGCATTATTTTGTATATCTTGTCTGGGGACACATCTGTCTTTCTCAGCTAGGAGTTCAGAGCGACGTCCTGGGCTGTAGTGGGCGTGGTTTATGCCCATTCTTTCCCTTGAGCCATGTCCTGGGGTCCATTTTAAGCCTGAAAGGATGTTCACGTCCACCTTTTCCGTTTCCCCTTCAGTGCTGCATTCTTATCTATAGTGTCAGAGTTTTCTCCTGAATTTATAGCACTTAATATACGTTAAGTGGCCATTGCTCTTAAGCAGAATAGTTCATTTGTAGAGGGCTGAGGCCCTAAATTGGCCAGTGACCCACAATAGCATGGTGCAACATCAGAAGAATGCTAACCTCTTGGAAGTTTAGCTAATCGAATCAGCACATCAATTAAGTCACCTGTCCAGTAGTTGTTAGAGTTTGTCGGATGTTACTGAGTTCCAATACTCCATCAAGGTTCCTCGAATTTGGTGTGTTTTTCGGAAAACTGCATTTAAAGACAGGAAAGCTCGTTTTCTTTTTAATGGAAAATGCAAATTTAAAAAAAATTGTTGAAACTATTACATATGTCCTCCTTCCCCCCCCCCCCATTAACTCCCTTCAGCCCCCGCCACCCCAGGCTCTCACCACCTAATTGTATGTGGAACAGGAAAGCTCTAATCCAGAGTTTCCCAGCCTCAGTGCTGTTGACATTCAAGGCTGGATAGTTCTTTGTTGTGTGTGTGTGTGTTCTGTGCATTGTAGTATGTTTACCAGCATCCCTGGCTTCTAGCCACTAGTAACACCCTTTTCCCCGAATTGTGCAACCAAACATGTCTCTAGACATTGCCTCCCCATCAGCTTGCACTCCAGCTCCAGCCACAGTGAACTGTTTGTGCTATATTCTTTCTCACCACTGTGCCTTCACCTGTGTGCGCTATTCTGTTTGGAAATCCTACCCCTGCCTCCCCTCTTTCTACATTATCAGGTTAATTTATAATTGTTCTGAGATGTCATTTCTTCCAGGAAACTCTCCCTGATTGGGAAAGCTGGGCCAGAGCAGTGGCTCTTGGGGAGGATGGAGAGGAGAAGGGTGAAGGGTGGGGGGAGATGAGAACCAAGGGGAGATTCCTGGGAAGGAAGGTTGGAAGAGGTACTAGATGGGGTTGTAAACCATGCAAGTGTGAGGCAGGTTAAGTGAGCCTAAGGGAAAAAGGCTGTGTTCATAACAATGAATGTTGCTTTACAGAGCCTATACCTTTCCATCTCCTTGCCCCATTCCTCCTGTATTGTCATCACCAACCCTCACTTCAGACATAGCCAATGGAAGTCACACTTATATGCATTTCAGGCTAGAAGTGTTAGAAGGGAATTCAGGAAGGGCCTTTTGTATCCTGAAGCTTTATGCACTTGACCAAAAACCCCCTGGTGTGTGAGAGATTGTGGGTGCCAACCTTGTCATTGTTAAAGACAGTCTTGACCTTACATAGCGCCTGCCTTGGTGTGATTAGGGTACAGAGGGGTGGGTGAGGCAGGGCCAGTTATATTTACCACCCATACACTCCCTGAATTGTTTCTCCCTCCTTTCAATTACCACAGAACCTGAAGAAGAGCTGGCACCCGCAGACACTCCGCAATGTGGAGAAAGTGTGGAAGGCTGAGCAGAAGCATGAGGCTGAGCGGAAGAAGATCGAGGAGCTTCAGCGGGAGTTGCGGGAGGAGAGGGCCAGGGAGGAGATGCAGCGCTACGCGGAGGATGTTGGCGCTGTCAAGTAAGCCAGGGGCTGAGGGTGTCCTGGTGTGTAGGGAACTGCAGGACCGGCCCACAGGTGCAGCATCCAGCTGTTGCACAGTAGCTGGTTAAAAGCAGGGGTTTTGGAGTCAGACTGACCTGGCTTCTGAGGCTGGCTTTGCATGGACGAGCCTCACCATGTAATTGGGGGCAAGTTTGGGAGCCTTGGTTACCTCACTAGACCCAGAGAGTGAGCGTTCCCAGTTTCTAAGGTTTGTGGAGGATGGACTGAGATAACATGTAGAGGGCTTGGTGTAGGCCAAGCTCATGGTAGGTGATTGGCAAATAACCACAGCTGAGGGTGATTGCTACTACCTGCCTCTGGTGTGTGTCAAGGCCTCGTTCCTGCTTTTGTTTGTTTACGTATTGCAGGCTCGTTTTAGGGGGGCAGTGAGGTCTCATGGAAGGAGGTGGATAGTGTGTCTGTCAGTGAAAGCTGTGTGACTGTGGACAGTCCCACTCGATGTTACCCTACTTGTTTCCTCTCGTGTAATAGAGGATAGGAGTAGCAGATAATAATTACCCATCTTGTGAAAGGAGGTGGGAGTAAATGTGTTCTGAGAAAAATTAAAATAATGAAATATGCAGGGCATTTCTAAATCAGAATTGAATAAAAGCTACAGGAGACTAAACTTGAGTAATCTATCATTTTTCTCTCTTTTTTTTTAAAGTATATTTTTATTGATTTCAAGAGGAAGTGAGAGGGGGAGAGAGAGAAACATCAATGATGAGAGAGAATCATTGATTGGCTGCCTCCTGCACGCCCCCTACTGGAGATCGATCCTGCAACCAGGGCATGTGCCCCTGACCGGAATCGAACTCAGGACTCTTCCGTCCGCAGGCTCGCGCTCTATCCACTGAGCCAAACCGGCTAGGGCCATCTATCATTTTTCTTGTTTATGTCCTCGTGGGCACGTCTCCTGGGTATTGTGTAGCATGTGTCCCCCCATTGGATACACAGGGCTTTTCCTTAATAATTTCATGACAGGAGGATTTGTGACATTCAAGGTTGTGTGCATGTGAGACTTAGTTTCAGTTCATGGAAATGGAATTATGAAACTGGTCAGGCATTAATTATTCTTATTAGCCCGGCTGGAGTGGCTCAGTGGTTGAGCGTTGACCTATGAACTAGGAGGTCCATAGTTCAGTTCTAGTATATTAAAAAAGTATATTTAAAAAAAAATGTCCGGCCCTAGCTGGTTTAGCTCAGTGGATAGAGCATTGGTCTGTGGACTGAAGAGTCCTGGGTTTGATTCTAGTCAAGGGCATATGCCCTGGTTCTGGGCTCGATCCCGGTGTGGGGCATGCAGGAGACAGCCAATCAATGATTCTCTCTCATCATTGATGTTTCTCTCTCTCTTTCCCCTCTCTGAAATCAATAAAAATATATTTAAAATAAAAAATTAAATGTCCAAAGGCTGTGGCCAGTGTGGTTCAGTTGGTTGAGCGTTGTCCATGCACCAAAAGGTTACTGGTTTGATTCTGGTCAGGGCACATGCCTAGGTTGTGGGCTCGATCCCCAGTAGGGAGCATGCAGGAGGCAACCTATCAATGCTTCACTCTTGCATTGATGTTTCTCTCTCTCCCTCTCCCTTTCTCTCTCTCAGAAATCAGTAAAAATAATATTTTTTAAAATGTCCAAGGATGTAACCAAGAAGACGTTCTTTATGCTCATAGTTGTTATATAATCTTAAACAAAAACAAACACACAAAATAATCATATTTAAAAAACAGTTAATTTAATGTTATAGATAATGCTGTTTTGATGAAAAAACATTGCTGCTTGCAGTGTGAATGGGGTATTAGCTGCTTCAACATAAGCTTTTATGAATTCAGCGTGCCTTTATTGTCTGTTGTATGAGGGTTCAGTTTTCTCACCACTTTTTTCTCTCAGAACTATAGGGAGATATTTGTTTGGCATGATACTGTGACATAATTGCCCCCCTCTTTTGGCGTGAAAGCATAATTTTGTGATCAGGTTATCTCTGGTGTTTTTTCACCGTCTCCATAAATGTAGTGTCACTGCTTGTGCCAATATGACAATGAGCACCAAAACACACAGTGAACACAACTGCATATGTGGTCACTGAAATTGGTCTTGGTAATGAGATTATCAGAATATGCTTATTGTTTCAGATTATTCTAGAAATGAAAGGATAATATAAAAGCTTTGTAGAAGCCGTGGGCAAAAGATCTGTGCCCCAGGTTGAGGAACATAGTTTTTCCTCATAAATTGCTTTAGGTGGTGAAAGTGATCTTCGCTAAGTGGTAAGTTTCATGCTGGCAGGCACCATTTCTCCCTGTGTGCCATGGGGAGTACTGTATTTAGCCCATCCTAGGTGCCTGTAGAATGAGTCCTGCTCTGACCAGCTATGATTATCTATTCTTTGTGTTCAGGTTTTGTGTGTAGGTGTCTACATTTTCTTTTCTATTTTTTTCTTGATCTAGGAAGAAAGAAGAAAAATTGGACTGGATGTACCAGGGTCCTGGTGGGATGGTGAACCGTGATGAGTACTTGCTGGGGCGCCCCATTGACAAATACGTTTTTGAGAAGATGGAGGAGAAGGAGGCAGGCTGTTCTTCTGAGACAGGACTCCTCCCAGGCTCTATCTTTGCCCCTTCGGGTGCCAATTCCCTCCTTGACATGGCCAGCAAGATCCGGGAGGACCCACTCTTCATCATCAGGTACTGAGGAGGGGCTGGGAGGGGTTTTGTTACAGAGATGCTTAGTAGAAGTGTTATTTAGCTTCTCACGTCACAGCTGGTTTCCTCTTAGCTTTTATATATCATGGAAAAGAATTTGTCTCCATTTGGGCTGCTTGATGTTGGGACGGAGGCTCCATTATGGGCGCCTGGTATAGGCCACATGGGAAGAGATTAGCAAGTGGACCAGACCAGACTAAACCAGACCAGATTTATTCATTTACTGTTGTCCCTTAATAAAAAATGCGAGGTAGAAGCAAGGTGAGGAAGACGGGCAGCTTCTTGGGAATTTGGAGATACGCGGCCATCAATTGACACACAGGCTGACCCCGTTTACCGGACTATTTGGGAAGCCTTGAGGGTGAAGCCTAACAAGAAACACACCAGCTCTCTTGCACCACAGGGAACAGTGTGGACTTTCCTCACAATATTCAGTCCCTTATGCAGATTTGGGGAAGGTTTCTGGCTTTCAAAACCTTCATGTAGATTTCAACCTAGGACCTGCCTACATGCCTTTCGAAAAAAGATTGCTACATAGAATTGTGGAGAGTGGAATGAGTGACTTAATCTCCTTCCTAAAATAAGTTGTTATGATTTTTATAATTTTCTCTCTTTAGGAAGAAGGAAGAAGAGAAAAAAAGAGAGGTATTGAATAATCCTGTGAAAATGAAGAAAATCAAAGAATTGGTAAGTAGTGTATCAAATGAGCACCAGGAGTATCTTTTAGCTACTTTAACATGAGAACTTCACTCCATTTACTCTTACCTTACGAGAAGGAAAACTGGCTTTAAAAATTTTTGTCTTTTAGAGACCTTTCCTGGTGATTTTATGCAATCTTAATTTATCAAGCTTAATTAAGCTTGATTTTCTGTTTTATGTCTTTTGGTTGGGAAAGTACCATGTGATGGCATGGTTCCAGAAAAAGAGGGGTATGGGTTATGCCTGTGGAAAGCATGATCATCCAGTGTGTTCAGGAGAGCAGGTGGCAGACTTTCTAGGGTCCATGCAGCATTCACATGACATATTATGTGATTATTTCTTGGATCAGTTGGCAAGGAAAATGTAAAGATTGATCTTTCCGTTCCCACATGCTTTCAGTGAAGTTGGAATTCTTTTGACAGATGGATGTGCTAGGCAGTGGTTCCAGGGACTGGTTA